GCAGCAGAGATGCCACCACCAAAGCTGCCCAAAACCTTTCCGGGGCAGCGAGAGGGACCCCGAGATGTGACAGTGATGCCCAGGGGACACTGACTGCCATGACGGCGACAGGAAAATGAGGAAGGGGAACGGGTGACAGAGGGGGTCCTCATTTCCGGTGGTGCCGGCACTCACAGCGATCCGGCGGGGTGATGGTGATGGACTGGGCTGTGAACTCGTCGTCGAAATACCGCGTGTCGATCTCGGACGTCACCTGGGGCTTGAACGGCGGCACCAGCTGGCGGGCACCCGCGCGCCAAGTGCCCGCCTGCCCCCTGCCGCCCCCAGCGGGCTCCCTTCGCTCCCCACCTTCTTCTGCACCACGTCCTGCCAGTTGATGGGGGCGAAGAAGCGATGCTCCATCACCTCCTTGGCGTCGCTGGGGCCTCCGCCGAGCCTGTGGGCGCAGACGGGGTGAGTGGGGCCGCCTGCAGCGCCGCGGTGCCCCCGTCCGTCTGCGGTGCGACCCTCACCTCTGTTTGGGATCCTTCTTGAGCAGCCCGGCCAGCAAGGCCTTGGCCTCGGGGCTGAGGGTCCGAGGGAAGCGGATCTCCTCCATCAGGATCAGCTCGAAGAGGCGCTCGTGGTCCTGGTTGTAGAAGGGGAGGCGACCGCACATCATCTCGTACATGACGACCCCCAGGCCCCACCAGTCCACGGCACGGCCGTAATCGTTGTCTTCCAGGACCTGCGCGGGGAGACGGAGACGGACGATGGGGACAAAGGACCGGGCGGCAACGCGAGGAGGGAGACAGGAAACCCATTCCAGTCCAGACACAACCGTTCCCAAGCATTCGGAAAAGGCCCCGCTGAACCCTTGGACAACGGGAGTGACACCACAGGAAAACCCCGCGTTTTGGGGAAGGCGCCGAGTACCTCCGGAGCCAGGTACTCGGGAGTGCCGCAGAAAGTCTTCATGGTGGCTCCGTCCGTGATGCCCTCCTTGCAGAGCCCGAAGTCGGTGATTTTGATGTGGCCATCTTTGTCCAGCATCAGGTTTTCCAGCTAAAAAAACCCAAAAAAACCAGACGGATGGGAGAAAAGGTTGGAGCTGAGCAAAGCTGGGAGCACGGGAGTGGGACAGACACCAGGCCAGGGAGATTAGAACTGTGTCGGGCCGGTACCTTGATGTCCCTGTACACCACGTCCCGGGAGTGCAGATACTCCAGCGCAGAGACGATTTCCGCGCCGTAGAAACGGGCTCGGTCCTCGGTGAAGACGCGTTCTCTCGAGAGGTGGAAAAACAGCTTGGGGGAAAGAGGAACACAAGAGAACAGCAGATCAGCAAGCGCATAAAGCCCAGCAAAACCCGGGTTTAATCGCCCTCAGCACCGGCTAATGCGCTCATGTGCGGCCTAAGCTCCTCGCCTTGAGCGGTCAAAGCACTGAGAGCCCCCTCTCTGCTCTGCTGGGGGAAATCGGCGTCTCCGAGCGGAGGTTGTGGAATGAATTGTCCACAATGAGCCGAAACCCGCGATTTAACGCTCGCACAAGACCCTTCCGAGCCCCGTGGTGGGGGAAGCATCGGGTACGAAGCTCCCACCTCTCCGCCGTTGGCGTACTCCATGACGAAGCACAGCCGGTCGTTGGTCTGAAAGGCGTATTTCAGTGCCTGCAAGAGGGCAAAATGAAGGTCTTGGAGAAGCCGGGGGCTTTGTGGCTCCAGAGGCGGCGGCGAGGGGAAGGAAGGGCCATTTTGGGGCCCCTCAGCTCCCTCACGGTACGTACGGTGAGAAAGGGGTGCCTGGTGTTCTGCAGCACCCGGCTCTCCGTAACAGTGTGCGCCACCTCATCCTGCAAGGGGAGGAAATTAAACGCCCTTTTGTCATCCATCATTGCAGGAAAAGCAGATTTTTCACTGCTGCCAACTATTCCCAGGAAAACAAACGGGGATGGGAGCTGAAGTGCCAACCTCCACCCTATTTCCGTCCCTAGGGGATAAAGGGTTTGAGGGACTGGGCCAGGTCACCCTTAAGGTCCCTTCCAACCCAAAAGACTTCACGATTCTGCGATCCCCTGAGCCCTGCTGGCTCCCGCCTCTTCCCTCACCCTCCGCTGGGGCTCAGCACGTACTTTTGCGATGATGACCTCCTTCCGTAGGATTTTCATGGCATAATAGCGGCCGGTGGCCTTTTCCCGCACCAAAATGACTTTGCCAAAGGTGCCCTTTCCCAGGAGCTTCAGGTAATCAAAATCGTTCATGGTCTGAGGAGAAACAGGGAGGCCAAGGTCAGGGTTTGCAGCGTGGCCAAGCGCAGATCCAAAACCGCTTTTCCGAGCCGTTTCACCCACGATTATCCCAACAGCTGACACCGTGGGGACAAGGTTTGTCCCATAAACTCCCCTCGCAGCTCAGGGGTCCCAGGCCTGGGGCGACTTACAGCCTTGGCGCGGGTTTTGCTGACAGCCACCTCCATCTCCTCGGCGCTGGTGCCGTCACTGGGGGATCCGCACTTGTAATCCATGGCGTCCGCCTCCGCTTCCTGGTTCTTCAGGCTGTTCGCTACCGTCTGGATGGCTCGCATCCACTCCTCGCTACGCAGAAAGAGGGGGCTAGCGGTGAGGGTCACCCGTGGGGGCTATGCCCACCCCTCCGGCCTTTGCGGGCAGACAGGAGTCACGGCCGAGATATTTGGGGGCTGTGCTGCAGCTCGGACCAACGCAGCGTGTTCCCTATCCCCAGTCCCCAAAGGAAGGGTCCGTCCCAAAAAAAACTCTTCGGGAGAGTCCACGTGGAAGGTCCGCTCGATGACCGTCGTCCACTGCAAGCATCGGATGACGAACGTGTTGGGCCGAGGCCGCTCCGTCTTCATCAGCTGGCACTCTGTGCGTGCCCAGAAATAAATTAAGAAAAAAAAGGGAAGAGAATGATTTGGGATCAAATACCCTCATCCCAAAACCTTCCCTAACAGTGCTGGGGGTGCCCAACGCCAGCTCGCAACCACGGACAGCCCCGAAACCGCCTGTGCCAACGCACCAGCTACCGAGAAGTTATTGAGGGGCGGCAAGCTGTGGTCGGACGTCTCCGGCCGTTCCTTGTAGCCGATGAAGGGGCCGTCG